AATTTTGCGTTTTGCAATGGATGTTATAAATATGTTGTATTTAAATATGTTGTAAAAATACAAACATATTTTATAACATCCAATTGCAAAACACAAAATTGCCTTTATGTTATTTTATAGAACATCAATAAAAATGTTAAACTTTTACTCAAATTGTGTGTAGTTTAAGCTACAATTTTTTTTTGCATGCATCCGATTTCACCTTGAGAGATGCACACGCCTGATGAAGCTAGTTTGTCTAGCGAAATATTGCGTATTTCTATTTAAAATCTAATAGAACTTTTAAATGTATCAATTAGCGTGTTTAAGTTATATTCTTAGACATTTATATAATTTCAATTCAGTAACTGTATCGTTTTATTTTCACAAACTGATCCACGCCTAAATTTGTTGCTATTTTTAGACATTATATATATGCATATCTAAACATAAAATGTTTGACAATTATGGTTTTGATTGAGTTTAGATAACTCAACCAAAACAATTCCTATTTGTTCAACAGTTACATAAACAGTGCACAAAGCACGCAAAGTACAATCTTAAATGGACGGCCAAGCAAAAGTGTTTTCTGTGGATTCATCATTATTCGTTGGATACCAATTTTCGTGGGTTTCGTGGGTACAGATGAACCACGAATTCAAATGTTCAACGAAAAAAAATTTTCTAAAGGCTTTATATGCAGAGATTTACAAAACCACGAAATCAAATATCCACGAAAATGCAAGTTTTTCTCAATCCACGAAAATTGATACCCACGAAATAAATGAATCCACAGTAGGACTAAACACTACACAAAGCACGCCAATTCAGCACCAGTATACAACAAAGTTCGCTGTAGAGTTCTATGTTTTCATTTTGTTTAAATATAACAGATATGAATTACTATCTGCATACTTGAAAATACTTCTATGTTCCTCAAAGAAACAGTGATGAACATAGTATTTTCAAGTATGCTCATCATTAGGTTTAAACTTAGAGCTGTTGAATTCAGTGAAAAGAAATCTATTTGCTATAGTCTAAAACCTGCTGTACTACACGGAATGATTGTTATCTCGTACACTTCCAGTACACTGATTGTTACTTGTTATTGTACAACGTGGGACAATCAGGATGACACCGGTACTCCATGAACTCGACCATTTATTTTTTTTAGTCATATTAATTGTTTTGGAAAAATTCTTTGACACAAACTATAGTTCAATATATTTATAATTTAACCGCAAACACCATCTGTGTGTTGAAAATAGAAATCCACAATTATAAATACTTTCAGCTAATTAAAATTTAGTCACCTACATGTTACATGCACACTATACAACATTCATTGGTCACGTGACTGGTTGTAATCTTTTTATCCCTTTATTGGCATTATTAAAAGCCCTTTGTATTGATTTTGAATATTTGTTTTATTTAATTCAATATTATTGATAGAGATTTTGACATTTAACCTTACAAAAACTTAAAATACTGGCAAGAATTCAAATTACCCATGTGAAAAATGCTGATAAAATTACAACATTAAATTAAAGTAAAGATTCGAACACAATAATCGAATTTTCCGTTGGTCAATATACAATTTATGTTTAGATTTAAAATCATGAAAACAGAATGCTAATAGTCAAATATTTTAAGTAGATTTTGTACTATTTCTTAATTAAAACTAAATTTTACTAACAATATTTGATATTGTCCTTTTATCAGATTGCAATAAAGCCGTTGACATTAAAGGTGTCATTACATTAATAAGAATATTGGTATGATAATAAGTATTTTTGAATCTTAATATAACGTGTATAATATGTATAATATGACGAGTTGCATTTTCGAGAGCTAACATTCAAGTATATCATATATATTGTTTCATGCTAATTTCAACGTTTACCTTATCTTCCAATGTTTATAGATATACGAAAGACCAAAAAGAGTCGCTTGTGATTGTAAAAGAACAACAAACGATGGAGATTGTGGGTAAAATTCCTGATCGAATAACCCCCAGGACTTAAACTGCAGCTATTTTCTGCTTGTCTGATGAGTTTACTGTAACGTACGAGTAAGAACATGGTCGGCTTCTATTCAGAATAATAGACCTGGAAGAGGTGAGAAGCCTTCCTAAGAACTATTACCCTGTAAGCTGGCATTTTTTAATTCCCACAAATCATGTATTGGGCAGTTTATGTTCGTATAACTAAATCAACATGTTTTCGCCCTGAATATGTTTCAATACCTATATGCTTGACGGTAAAAAAAATTCCGGAGAGACCGAATTAATAATGCATTATTATTTGGCATTAAGAGTATAAGAACATACACATGTACGAATACTCGACATTCTTAAAATAATATTGCAAGATAACTGATCATTTACCTTGAGACATAAAACTAGCCCTTATATTTTACTATTGTCTATATCATATCAATACAAGATCAAACATTATAATATATTCAAACTAAAGGAATCAAGAGGTATGGAACTTTTTGACACAATCGACAACTTCAATTTACCTCGACATAATTATACCTTTGCTTAATAAAGCGACTTTGGAATGGTGTATAATGGTAGTGATGCCTGTTCGTTCATCCTTCTGTCTTATTTACCCGTTCTTAAAAACACTCTGATGTTCTCTTTCATATACACCAAAGGGGAAGCACTTCTATTCTATAAGGGGATGACATCGCGTACATCTTTTACTATTTGATTCCTTTAGAATATTTTCTCACGTTTTGTATATGAATACATTAAAGAGTTGTGAGGAAAACGTCGAAGAAAAAAACAGCAAAAGAGCCACCTTACCCAATTAGACATCAAGAGGCAAACAATCGCCTTATAATATTATAATACCTCGTTCAATGAAAATCAAGAAAGATCTCAAAATTGAGCATTCAATACCGCTTCAATTATTGTAAATGTTTCTAGAAAATATGATCATACGAGTTCTATAGTCTGTTGATTTTGAAGTGCCTGATTACATCCCAACATCGATCTCTATACTTTCAAAACGGTTCCTACCGAAACGTAGAAAGGCCGTGTAAGAAAAAAACAATATGTAGGTCATTTTGTCAATAATGAATTATAAAATAAGTTCAAATATATAGGAAAGAAAAAACTGAGAATATAAATATTTTAGAAGTAGTCCTCGTAAGAATTTGGGATATCAAAATTGTGTAACAAACCGCATGAAAGGCTACACATCATCATTTTGTCAATCAGCTGTCAAGTTTGTGTAGATTGAAATAAAATGACTGATATTTTTCAATTTACTGCCTTTCAAGAACAGATATTTAGCATGCATTTTACAAAAGATTCTATATGATATTACGAATGATATCTATTTCAGTGTGTTTTATAGTGCATTCTATAGAATTCATATATCATCCGGTAAGAGGAAATATAAAACACTTCACATGTATATGATTTCACCTTTAGATTTTCTATCGATGAATAAGATTTTGTATAATTGTTTAATGGGCTGGGCCCGTATGCATAAAGCTACTTAAGAAAAGATCTGTTCCGAACGGACGGATTTTTCTACATGTCCTACGATAAATTAGTATTACGATTGGATATCTTAACTTAAGTAGCTTTATGCATATGGGCCCTGGTTCTTAAGTATATTTCTCAGCGTGTTGTTTGGCGAATCAATATCTATTTTAAGAAAAAAGGAGTAATGATTTAACAGCACTAAACAAATGTAAAAAGAGGGAAATAAAACACCTACCAATGCAAGAAAGACAATGACGAATGAACAGCAGTCCACAATACACTACACAGAAAACTTAACATAAAAAATAACACGTTTTACTTGTGTTTGACCCTTTTTGTCTTGAGCAAATAAAAGTATCTTAAACTTAAATCATAAACCAGAGTGAACTGTGGTAATCTGGAAAGAGTTCATGCTCCTCTAGTACCATCTATTGTATTACTCCTTTCATGTAAAAAAAAAAAAAGGCTGCACGCTGCATTCGGTCATAGTCATAGACAAGGAAAATAGAGCAGAGTTGTGGAACGTATCGGAATTCTGTGGTATAACTTTTGCCAATTCGTTCATGTAGCCAGACATTATGATTAAATGGATCGTTCTTCAAGCTTTTTTTTTTGTAAACATTCAAATTTATTATAATGGTGCGAAATACCACTTTCCTCGTCACTTTATCATGCGTCCATATATGTAAAACCCTATATATGTCGTATAATATGCACAAATTTGACCAATTTGATCAATACACACATAGAGAACCACATAAGACATGTCACCTTTATAGGATTCAGCTAATAGAAAATCGCCTTGCTCAATCTTTAGAGTTCTATATTGTCTTTTGTGTACTGTTGTTTGTTTGTCTTTTTCTTTTTTAGCCATGGAGTTGTCAGTTTATTTTCGACTTATGAGTTTGAATGTCCCTTTGGTATCTTTCTTCTCTCTTTTAAAGGAAAGGAAAGTTTACAAAAGGAATGACAAGTCATCCTACTTGTAAAACAGTTTGGTATGACGACATCCTAAGCATGCTTTGGGCATTTTTATACATTTGCCCTATCGGAAAACCAATAACTTGACAGTGTAACTTAATGTACGAAACGAACATATGAAGTACCCGGCAAATAAATATATAAAAACAAGTACTAATATACTTCATTCAATAAGATGAATATTTGTGGACAGGAGCCTTTATCTCTCTTAGGTTCTTTTTTTAACTCTTAGTTTGTTGAAACATTGAAAAGTGATACGAGAGTTAATTTGGTCTGTGGGAGAGCTTCCCATACAAGTCCCATTTGACGAAGAGGAACATTTTCTATAATTGTCCCTGCAGGTACTTGTAAAATACTACAGTTAATATTGCATTATACTTCAGTAAATAAAAAAATATTTAAAAAAACAATACTAGCGTATGAACATAATCTTCACGGAAGTTTCATATGTCTGGCGGCTTTCAAACTTTTTCAATGGCTATGAGAATTCTAAGATTGGATAACCTAAGAAAACAGTTTGAACAAAAGAAAAAAAAGGCACAGTATTGGTGATTTATGATTATATACCAACACTTGTTTAATAGTATCACAGCTGACTTTTTATAACTTCAGTACACATGTTGATAACAATAAACGTATTAACAATAAAGACAAATTGTATATGCAGCAGAACAAGCATGAATCAATGTTACTCCATGTTAAACAAATACTTCTACAACCTTCTTTTTCACGATTTTCGATGGAGGAAGAGTTCCTCCGAATGGTGAAAATGGTCTTTGGTCGGATCCTTCTTCCGATCCCGCTAATGACGGTCGCCACATTTGTTTATTGAACTTTTTCACTAACACTGGAGGAGTCCTCCCAGACGCAGACTCGTTTTGGCTTGCAAAGTCATGCTGTGCACGCATGGGCTGAGTTCGCATTGGCTGTGCACGCATCTCAGTAGAATTGCCATGAGTCTTTTTCATTACTGAATGTTCTAAGAGTGATTTGCGGATGTCTTTGTCATTTTTCCTTCCAATTAAGGGTCCTAAAATGTAGATAAGTTCTTGTTTATACTTTTTTTTAAACATGATGACAGATATCAAACATTGATAAGTATACTTATATTTATAGAACATATTACATTGATCAAGTGGACTTTCTGCAAATAAGCATAATCTGTCCCAGTCGCAAAACCCGTTCTGTTTTCCTATTGCTATTTACTGAAATCGATGCATATGTACGTTCGTGCTAACATTCCGTATGAAAACGCACATACAATATTGAAGAAAAGATATTTTTCTATACATTTACTGGATCTAAGTGAATTGGTACTCCAAAATGTATTGTTCCGGGACAATTAGGTAGTCATATATATAAAGTAAACAAATACCGTTTAAGGTTTGGTACCATTAAAACGTTTAAACCCGCTGCAATTGTTTGCACCTGTCCTAAGTCAGGAATTTGATGTTCAGTAGTTGTCGTTTGTTGATGTGGTTCATGATTGATTCTCGTTTCTCGCTTTTTATATAGATTAGACGGTTGGTTTTCCCGTTTGAATGGTTTTACACTAGTAATTTTTTGGGGCCCTTTATAGCTTGCTGTTCGGTGTGAGCCAAGGCTCCGTGTTGAAGACCGTACTTTGACCTATAGTTGTTTACTTTTATACATTTTGACTTGGATGGAGAGTTGCCTCATTGGCACTCATACCACATCTTCTTATATCTACTATATGTTATTATGTATCTACACGTTGGATATGGGCTCATATTCTATATCAGTATTTTATATCCCATGAACCGTTAGGCGAAGGGAATAAAGGGCACTGACAGGGGGCCCGTATCCCATGTGAAGCCCGAATAAAATTTGTATTATTTCTGATTCAGATCTTTGTTTTCATGGGCTCATAAACCCTGCCAATGTAACCAATTAAGTTGCATGATTAGCCGGGATATTTCACTCCAGTATAATATGATGTAAAATAATCTATCCATGTGAACAAACTCCATTCCACATGGATTGATATGATTTAAGCTTTTGATTTCATCAGATCTGGATGTCATTTATAAGGAAAACCATGAATGACAAATACTGACATGTATTTTATATATTATATAGTTCTGGCAGCGACTCTTTTCACAAAAAATCTTAACAGTAAAAATACTCGTAAGTCATACACATTTCAGTATAACTTACGATCAATTTTAATCGTAAGATTTTTTGTGAAAAGAGTCGCTGACTTGTTCACGTGTTTGTAGATATACAAATGTTACTAAATATACCTTGCAGTTATTCATATATATATTTCAAGCACGACCAAACTTTGTTATTCCATACAATAAACTTTAGTTTACAAGTCAAATATTTTGTTTCCCCTCCCTTGTATAATTTAACTATCAAAATATTTATCCTCTTAAAAACTTGACTACAAATTCTACAACGTTAATAAATTTAAATATTGTTGACAGCATTACTATGCTAAGATTAACAATCAACATTAAGATTTGTGAATAAATTATAAAGACACCTATATTATAGTTTAACTCGTCTAAACGTTATTCATTAACAGTAATTTCGTAAAAGTTTCTAAGGTAATACTGACTTGTGGTGTCTTTACTAAAGAACGAAAAGTATATGACGGTGTTTTCTTTATTATAACTTACAATAATTGATGAGCAGGCTAAAGTTATAACTATGCAATCTAAAACAGTTTGAAGCAAAAATTCAAACAAACAAGTTGCATTACAATGCATTTACTTCTAAAGTATCGTTCAAAAGTCCCATACCCTATTATCGGTCCATCTGTTCAGGAAGTATTAATGGATGTGTTTTTCAAATTGAACGCTTTGACTATTGTTTTTTCTGATGTTCTTACCACAGTTCGTGAATCTTCCAACAGAAACAAAATAAATTACCCATTGTTTTTTTGTTTTGTTTGATAAAATAGAAAATGCGCTCATGACATTTATGTCAATGGAACGCCAAATATAGTTACAGATATGTATTTTCATAGCAAGGGAATAAGATACCATATTTCCCTCGGACCTTTAACTATGGTGGCGAAATATTGATTACAGCTTTCTGAAATTCAGACAACATAGGGAATTTGTAGCGCAAATGCAACTGCAACTTTTACATATAAAAATAAGAAGATGTGGTATGATTGCCAATGTGACAACCCTCCACCTACTACAGATCACCGTACGGCCTTCAACAATGAGCAAAACCTATACCGCATAGTAAGTTATAAAAGGCCCGAAATGACAAATAAAAAACATTTTTTTTTCCATTTCAGCAATCGTTCTTATTGTGTATACAAAAATTGGTCACCGAATAAAATAAACCATTCCATTTCAATGTAAAATACTTAATTAGAATGATTATCTTCAATTCAAATAACTATAATTATACATAACGTGGAAACACATACCGGTATACAAAAGGTAAACAGTATACAATCGATTCTTTGAAGACGAATTGAAAAAATATAATTGAGGAAAACATTTGCATTTTTATTTTAATTGCGAATGAAGCGTCATTGAAACAATTCGTTAAAAATTTGATATATTATCGCTTTAAAAAGGATTAATAAAAAACATACATTGATACTTCACAATATACAACTTAAGAGAAACTATAACAAATCTTAGAAGATACAATAAAATGAATAACCCAGGAAGAAAGATAAATCTACAAAATTATATAAACTGCTAACTTTTTGATTTTTCATCATAATGAAATACATAGATCTCCATATCCATATAAAATTAAACAACAGACTTTAAAATGAGGTATGCAATGGATTCAGTTGTTAATTTCTGTCATTTGGTCTCTTGTGTTGAGTTGTCTCATTGGCGATCATACCACATCTTCTTTTTATATCATACAGTGATTGAAATGAATCCACTTACTTATTATTTTTCTAATACAATAAAAAAAACTTCCCAAAGTAGAAAGACATAGCTATTGAGAAATGTTCTGACTTCAGTCAATTCAGTAAATGGTGGTTCTATTCTATAAGAAACATCCTTATCTGACCATAATGATTTCTTATGATTTATCAAATTCGTCATTCTGAAAAGTTTCGAAATTTCAAGATTTATTAACTCCCTCAAAGATTGCACATTATCGAGAGCGAAATATTTATAACAAATTACAATAAAATGCAAAGTATCCAATACTGCAGTGTAGTATAAAATCATCATAGATATCAGGATTAAAATTATGTATGCCAGAAGCGCGTTTCGTCCAACAAAAGACTCGTCAGTGACACTCGAATACAAAAAGTTAAAAAGGCCAAATAAATAAAGTACGAATTTGAAGAGCACTGAGGACTCAAAAATCCCGAAAGCATGTGATTTGAGACTTTATATCTAGTAATTAGCATACTGACCACTGTTGGACATTCATGTGATTTGAGACTTGATATCTAGTGATTAGCATACTTACCACTGTTGGACATTCATGTGATTTGAGACTTTATATCTAGTGATTAGCATACTGACCACTGTTGGACATTCATGTGATTTGAGACTTTATATCTAGTGATTAGCATACTGACCACTGTTGGACATTCATGTGATTTGAGACTTGATATCTAGTGATTAGCATACTTACCACTGTTGGACATTCATGTGATTTGAGACTTGATATCTAGTGATTAGCATACTTACCACTGTTGGACATTCATGTGATTTGAGACTTGATATCTAGTGATTAGCATACTTACCACTGTTGGACATTCATGTGATTTGAGACTTTATATCTAGTGATTAGCATACTTACCACTGTTGGACATTAGATTCCTCGGAGACCTTATAACTGGATTAACTTTTCTGGCAACGATTTTCCGCCGATCAATGGCGCTATCGGTTTCAGTTTGTTTTGGATAATTGTTATCATAATCCTGATAAGCACTTTCATTATTATGTTTCTTTTCAACTTTATCAACAGTTTCACGATCTGAAAATTGACTAGAATGTCTAAGTTGCCTATCAAGTGTTAAAGATTTACCCGTATTGACACCACTTTGAAAGCCTGTGGGATGCCCATACGTTGTAAAGCACTTTGTTATCGCCCCTGTCGGACATCCGTTAGGCGATGATGGTTCCAGCGAATTATTTTCGTCATCATCCAAACTAAAATCACCATTTGAAACAATTGGCTTTCTTCTACTATCCATTGTAAAACTTCGAATTGGAGAATTTATTTTACCAATAAGACTTTTATTTGCTCCAGAAGAAGTCAAATTCAAATTTTCCTTTTTTGGATCGTTAAAATTTACTTCTTTATGTCTCGTGCTTTCGAATTCAAACGTTTGCTCTCGTACTATTCCAGGCGGTCTTTTAATAACTGATTCAGAAGATAATGAAGTATTTGCGGGTCGCCATTTTTTCACTAAGGGCGGATGATATTCCGCTGATCTGAATTCTGTTATATCTTCATCATATCCATTCAAAAGTGGCGGACATAAATTAGAAGATTGATTTTCAGGGAAAAAGTTGTTAATTTTATGATTCTGTAGTCCTGGACTTTTTTGTGCACTATCAATACTTTTATTGTGCGTAAATTTTGCAGCTCTAGTACAAGCAACGGCAGTTATAGTTGATATTTTTCTCGTATCAGAGTGAGATGCATCAATCGAAGACAAAGTACCATTCGTAAAGTCACTTCTCTCATTATCTGTTATTCCACTGAACGAATTATTCCTCACGATTTCCACTTTCTGTTTAGATTCTGGATCTTGATATGAAATCGACCTCTTCGAATTGTTTTCAAGAGGTGACATATTGTGCACGCCGCCATTTTGTGCGTTTGGTAAACTATTTTCTGTTACGTCATATCTTTCACTGTTTTCCTCCTCTTCCGAATCCGAATCCGTCAAAGCATGTGAATGCAAATTGCGGATTGTTGAATAAAGATCAGACATGGAATACCTATTTGCGTTTTTGAAAATATCTTTTAAAACATCACACTGATTACAATAATTTCCAAATTTTATAGGGAATTCATAGTCACTACTCTTTCTTCTGTTAATACGATTATCTGTGATTTGACCGAAACATGATTGTGCATTGTTTGGTGGCCTCGTATTACCACTGTTTACGAAACCTTCTTTAGAAATTGTCTGTAACAGTTTAAGCAGCTTATGAGGCTTTAAATTTACTTTCTTTTGACCAACATTAGGAGTATTACGATCAATACTACTAAAGCTTGTTAAAAAATTACAACAGATATCACATGAATTCCGACTCTTTGGCTGATCTGCAAAATGAACTCTTTTTTCTGATTTAGCCTGATGTCTGAAATGAGCACGTTCAGAATTTCCCACAGCACTTTTAGACCGGCGAAGAAATTTGTTTTCAGTAAAAGAATGCACTAGTTTAGAGTGGTTCGAATCACCAAATTCTGGAATGTCAAAAGATTTTCCTTTTAATCCAGTGTCACTATATGTTGATCCTACTTCTTTAGAGCTTTCTAGTTCTTTGCAGAAAGAAAATGGTATATAACCAACTTTTCCTTCATACGTTCTTATAAACACCCAACCTCCTACTTTATACACCAATTGAACAATATCACCTTCCGAGACGAGGATTTCCGAACTCTCTGTGTCGTTCGGGACAAACGTGTATTGTACCAATGCAGGATACCCTAATTCTTCCGTTGGCTCATTGCCCGGATTAGGAGGATCACGTGATCGCTTAGCAGACGACATGTATTCGAAAGGTCTTACAAGGTATCTGAAGAAGAATAATATATAAATAAGTACGTTAAAGGAATTTATTTTTAAATAATTGCTGTTTTCAAATATTATTATGACATATTTTAATAAGACCAATAATCCTATTGATGTGGAAATCTACTTGGCTATTGATTTGTGAGGTGATTCGAGACAAAAAATTTTGTAAGATGTCCAGATGTATATACAGGGTGTTAAAACAAGCATGCAGGACATTTTATCATTCTTTTCAAAGTGATTTAATCTTTTTACAATCACTTTAAGTGTGGAAATGTTTGCCAAGTATATGGGTAATGGATTATGTAGACTTTTAAATATGGCTGTGAAAATATATAAGGTTAAAGTTTAATATTTCAACATTGATGAAATTGCTGAATTATAACAACATACAAATGTTTAAATACGTATAAATATATTATATTGAACAAAATCTTATCAAAAGAAAGAGGGGGTGGGAAGACTTTCAAAAGTTAAATCTAGAAATTAAATTACTTATTCAGAAATCCTTGTATAGAAACAGAACTTGAATATGTAGATATTAATAATACATAAATTTTACGTTCAGTTCTTATATTCGGTGCACTTTAAATTTTCTAGTTTAATAACCAGTTCAACAAATGTTGGAGAAACAGATATTGTTATTACAATAATAACGTTATTGTTGAACGACAAGCAATACATATTATATGAATAAACTTTATTTCTTACTGTACACAACATTTTGTTGAGGTAATTAACATTTGTAAAAAACCGAAAGCATGACAGATGCAAGGTGTTCTTAAAACTAGTATTTTAGTTTTAAATTTTTAAAACTAATTATGTTATCCTACAGTTTCGCAAAATGTGAATGAAAACAGTAACGGTTCGTTTAAATGCTAGTTAATGCCACTTTCGTTGCATTTATACAATTTCATAGGGAGTAGTTTTATGGGTAAACCATTCAAAAATGCCTAGTATGATAAACCATGTACCTTCACGATTAAGTAAGCGACAGGCTCCATCATATGGCAAAGTCACATTGAGCATGGAGACGTCAATCAGGATTGCAATAAGAAATCAATTTAAGGGTTAATTATTAACAATATAACGTGTTGAGAATTGACCTGCTGCTATACTCAATAAAATAACCAAAGCAAGACTATAGATTCTCTAAAGACTTAAAAGCAGATCACGCAGCAAACAAAAAACTCCGAGGGATCATACATTCCCACTCCTTACCATTTCGAAACTTTTCGAACGCTGTAACGAGATGGTTGACCGCAATGGGATATTTGTGCCACATTTGATCATGGATAAGTTTAAACTGTCGTAATCACAATCCTGTCTCGTTTCCTAGATTGTAACACCACCGACTGAAACTTATCACTGAAATGTGTACATACATGGCGGGTGTCTACAGTTTAGCAGGATCTACTTAACTTTCTGGATTTTTATGGGGTTCGTGTTGCTCAGTAATTAGTTTTCTATTTAATGTTATGTGGGCTTGTTTGTCTTTTATTGGTTTTTGTTTTTCCATAGCGATGCTTTTTTCTCTTCGACTTATGGGTTTGGAATGACTCCTTGGTATCTCCCTTCTCTTATGTATCAATATGTCAAAATCACACTTTGTTACTACATCTTACCACAACATATATTAAAGATTACGTAAAAATTCAAATGAAATCCAGTAAGTGGCTTGAGGGAATTGTCGATAATAGATCCAAGCCAGTTCTCCTTACGAAGAAAGTATTTGCTTTGAACAAATTAAAAGCAGCAGGTACACAATGGCACTAGGGATTCTCCGGAATTTTCACTGAAATGAAGTAACTGATTTAGGAAAGATTGTGGGTAAAAAAAACATACATAACCTCTTTTGTAGGTATAGCATAAAGTCCATCTTTTGCTATTTAAAACCCAAAAACTCATTTAGATTGAAAATGAAATATGATAAAATACCTATTTAGCTGAGGGAAACACAAAACATATAATAGGTGCACAATGCCATGATAGGTAAGAAATATTAATTGAGAGTTTAGTTTACAAGAACGGACGTACACCATGGATTGATCGTTGTTTGTCCAGTGACTAATATAGCATATGACCGGATACGAAGAAAACTGACGAACAAAATACACAACTACTGTACACAACAAGAGAGACGTCATAGTATGCTAGTTTAAGGTCTCTTTGTAAGGTTCAACATTCAGGTAATACCAGTCATATTATTATTTTTAAAAGAGCCTTAGATTATTTAAAAGTCATTTCAGAATAAATTCTTAAATAACAATTAAATCGCATTAATTGTAATCGAAACTTATTCTGCTTGCGTCACGATAATTTGTCGAGAAAAATAGACCTAGTACATAAACACTGTCATTCAACAATTAAAATCTGGAGAAGAGCATTGACATTGCGTTTGCATTTATATATATAATTGAACGGACAAACCAATGTGTACAAACGTCATCATAAAGATTCGTGAACGTTTTCTTGGGAGTTATCGTGAGAAAACATGCAAATGTGCTTTGTTTTTGACGATAAAATCACACAGCTGTGGAACTCCAACTTCGATTTATTAATTGATTGATTGATTTGTTTGGTTGATTGGTTGATTGATTGATTGTTATTTGCTAAACGTAGAGTAGCAAAAACTTCACGCATTGTCAGATAGAGGATATCAACAATAAATCCAATTAGAACATTCTGCGAAACGGGTTAATCGGGATGAATGGTACGGAATATACACTGTCGCTGGAAAGGGAAGAGGCAGACACCTACAGACTGATACTGAGTACAAGGAAATGAATATTCAGTGGCTGAATATAACTATACATATTACATACGTTCATGTAAAATATTGATCACTACAGGCCAAAACTGGATGGAAAACAAAGGCGATTGAGTATCGATTATCTTAAAGGAATGTATAGGGCTACGCTATTGCTAAATTTTGCAGCTACAAGTATGTGGTGAAGAGAAGATTTGTTAAAGTATTTTCCCATACTATCCTACATGACTTTTAAACCATTCTTGGTAGTCAGTACCATCTAGGATTTTTGTCAAAACCGTCGCAAATATGAAAGGATAATTGTTTCAAAGTTATATGAATTAACGGAGATGCGGGTAGACAGCAACCTGACTGGTTCAACTTAATTTGAGTTTGAATACTATTATATTTTCTAAATAGTAACGGCGGTCATTTGCTTTCTGGGTTGGTTTTCATGACTTATAGTCGTCATCCCCATCAGACCAACAGAAATAATTCAAAAATGTAGCAAAAGGCAGACGATGAAAAAAATTACTGAATGACTGATATATGGTATTAGTTTTGGTCATTGTTGAAGGTCGTTTGACGAACTGTAGTTGTTTACATCCTCGTCCTTTGGTCCCTGGTGGATATTTGTTTCATTGGCAATCATACCACATCTCCTTTTTTATATTGTATAGGACACACAAAGAGGCCAACAAAGTACAAATGATAAACATCTGACCATTGAATTGTTTCGTACAGGCACAAAAGTATCACTATGTAACGGAGGCAACACTAGACATACGATGCATTTTACAATGTTACTTGGTTATAAGAAATAAACAAAAACAAATAAAGATTTATCTATTTTATCTATATAAGAATGAAAATAAATTGTATGTACACAAGTCAATAATCAAACTGAGTGGATTAAAAACAGAAATGCTGAAGGTCTAACCAAAGTCTTCATCAATGATCTACTTATAACAAAGGCAAAGCTTTTGAAGCATGCCGAATGGTCGGTTAATATTAAATGGACATAAAAACTCAAGCATAAAACGTTAGAACTGTTGATCAATTAAGAAAGATTTTACCTATTAAAATAAATGGAATTTAGGCTTCTGATTTTCTACATCAACTTCCATTGGTAAAGAAAATAATTCTTATGAATAGAAAATCTCTAGCGTGAAAATCTTTAACGTCTGAAAACAATAGTCTTCAAGCTTTCATTAATTGATTCAATTAAGAAAAATGAAATAGCAGTCATCTTAATTAAGTCCCTAGGAAAATATAAGGGCCATCAATTAGTAGGCAAAGCTAATAATAAAACTTTTTTTTATCTCGACGTGATAAATCTGGACTCGCATCAAAAAACATGTTTAACGTTAACTATTGTGTATGCATTCAATACCATTTTATATCAACCGAATCATTTTTTATAAACTGCATATAAGCGAACTCTCGGCAAAAACGGTAATTAGTTGACCAAAGGTTATAATGATTGTTGATTAATCAAGTCCCAGTGGCAAATATTTCTTGCATACATTATTTGCTATAAATGTCTTTGTGGTTTTCGATTTTTTTAATTCTTATGAACCGGGTTCAAAAATAAGAGTTGCATGACGCTAAATGGATTTCTCGGGACATGGTAATAAAAATAAGTGAATATCACAAGATGCACAAGAAGAAATACTTGACAACAAATTCCATATGAAAGTCTTCCATAATACAAATCACCTAGCAGATATCGAAAGCCAAAACACGCTAAAACTGCAGCTATTGCAACACGAACCACTTCTCCGCCAAGCATGCGGCACTTACAATTAATAGCAATGATTGGTTGGCTCAGAGTCAAATTAATATGTCCGGATAGTTAGACATTCTTTCCTATGAATTATTCCCTTCACAGCTAGCACGTTAATGATCCGACTCAGTGTATCGGTCTAGTTCAAAACAGGGTATCTCATATCTCGTTAACATTTTATGTCCTGTGTAGTGCATGAAATGCTTGTCGTTGGACGTTAAGCGCCGATTTACTAATGCATCTATGAAACAATTTTGAATTAAGGAAACTAACTTGACATATAAATAAAGTACTCACATTACTCTCACATAGAAAAACTACAGGACCACAAGGAAACATTTACAAGGATAACGCGGAAATGTTTTATCTTACAATACTATGAAACACAGGTATAATTCTATTCAGAGCTCAACGAATCCAAATCTCCTGTAGTAGTATAATTCAAACTTGAACTGTCATTTATTGTAAG